AGATTGGTTTTAAGCCCAAGAAAGCAAGAACCTGCTAAATATAAGGGTCATTTATTTTGTTGGTTTGTTAGAAACAGCATTAGCTCCCAACAAAGTGGGGTTTTGGGGAGATGGAGTGACTCATCTCAGGCATATGGTGTGTTACTGGCAGCCATCCAGGTCAAGACGGACACATAGAAGCCAGAAACGCTGAGAGGCAAGGCAGCCCCACCTGGAAGCCACGGTAGCTGGCCTTTGAGCCCCTCCCAGTTTCAGTGAAGTTGGCTTTAGCTTCCGGGGCTGTTGGTGTAGGAAGTTTGGTCAATTAGACAATTATTTTTTCCTTTTTCAGCATCTTTTCTTTTCTCTAAATCCTCAAGTCCAGAAAAGATTCTGGAATCCATGACAAGGAGTAGACTCAACATTCCCTACCTTTTCTCTTGCAGGCAGGTGACAAACTTAACACCCCAGCTGTGCACGATGCAGCAGATGCAACCAGATGTTCCACAGAAGGAGAGGAAATGTATCTTCAAGGTGAGGCGGACTCAAGAACACTAGAAGCTTTCCCTGCTGAGGGAAAGGAAATCTTGCTATGTTTGTTTCATTGTTTTTAGAGAAGGAGGCATGTTATTAGCTGTGAGGCTACCCCAATCCAAGAAGATTATGGCCAAAAGTTACCTCATCAGTTGGTATTAATCAGCCAAGCAACTGACATGCTGGCAGTGAGCTGAGGCTGTTCACGGATGAACTTGTGATGCTGCCTTAATCAAATGAATAGGACTCGACATTTGATGCCTCGGATGTGAGGGAAGAGTGAAAATCAGCAATACCTCCTCTCCAACTCCTTCCCAGGAATATGCTTAGGAAACAAAAGATTACAAGAGAATTTTCTAGAAATTTCTAGAAATGTTACTCATTTGATGGCTACTTTTTTTCTTCTTTTACTCTCCTGTGAGAAGGGCTTTTTGAGGCCTCCCAGGCTGCTGTTCTCTGGGTTTTCAAGAAGAAAATCTCATATTTGATGAATTATGTCACAGACTTGTTTCACCCCATTAAGATGATTAGCTCTTATATTGAGAGAGAGAGAGAGACACGAGAGAGAATGGGAGATAACAAGAGAGAACCCACTCTCTGAAAGAGAAATTTCTGGTGTCAAGAGGTACTTTTTACCAGGGAGCCATTGGAATCCCAGCATTTTGGGAAGCTGAATTGGGAAGACTGCTTGAACCCGAGGAGTTCAAAACCACCTCCGGGCAACATAGGAAATCTCCAACTCTATTTTTTTATATATATTATATATTTATTTATTTATTTATATATTACATATATATTATAGACCATATATATGTGATTCATAGTTTTTATGAAACCGATTTTTTATTTCTACATTGTTTTCCTCCTGGCCAATGTGATGTCAAGAAAAAGAAGTATAAAGATCATGAATACAAAAATCGGGTCATATGGCTAAATAAAAAAAACTACAAGATCCGCTTAGCAACCGGTGCGTGAGGTGGTGGTGAGTCATTGTGTGTGTGTGTGTGTGTGTGTATAAAATCAGTTTCATAAAAACTATGATCACATATATATGGTCTATATATATATGTATATATAAATAAATAAATAAATATATATATATATAAAAAAAAATAGAGTTGAGGATTTCCTATGTTGCCCAGGATGGTTTTGAACTCCTCGGTTCAAGCAGTCTTCCCAATTCAGCTTCCCAAAATGCTGGGATTCCAATGGCTCCCTGGTAAAAAGTACCTCTTTGACACCAGAAATTTCTCTTTCAGAGAGTGGGTTCTCTCTTGTTATCTCCCATTCTCTCTCTGTCTCTCTCTCTCTCTCAATATAAGAGCTAATCATCTTAATGGGGTGAAACAAGTCTGTGACATAATTCATCAAATATGAGATTTTCTTCTTGAAAACCCAGAGAACAGCAGCCTGGGAGGCCTCAAAAAGCCCTTCTCACAGGAGAGTAAAAGAAGAAAAAAAGTAGCCATCAAATGAGTAACATTTCTAGAAATTTCTAGAAATTCTCTTGTAATCTTTTGTTTCCTAAGCATATTCCTGGGAAGAGTTGGAGAGGAGGTATTGCTGATTTTCACTCTTCCCTCACATCCGAGGCATCAAATGTCGAGTCCTATTCATTTGATTAAGGCAGCATCACAAGTTCATCCGTGAACAGCCTCAGGGACTCACTGCCAGCATGTCAGTTGCTTGGCTGATTAATACCAACTGATGAGGTAACTTTTGGCCATAATCTTCTTGGATTGGGGTAGCCTCACAGCTAATAACATGCCTCCTTCTCTAAAAACAATGAAACAAACATAGCAAGATTTCCTTTCCCTCAGCAGGGAAAGCTTCTAGTGTTCTTGAGTCCGCCTCACCTTGAAGATACATTTCCTCTCCTTCTGTGAACATCTGGTTGCATCTGCTGCATCGTGCACAGCTGGGGTGGTAATGTTTGTCACCTGCCTGCAAGAGAAAAGGTAGGGAATGTTGAGTCTACTCCTTGTCATGGATTCCAGAATCTTTTCTGGACTTGAGGATTTAGAAGAAAAGAAAAGATGCTGAAAAAGGAAAAAATAATTGTCTAATTGACCAAACTTCCTACACCAACAGCCCCGGAAGCTAAAGCCAACTTCACTGAAACTGGGAGGGGCTCAAAGGCCAGCTACCCGTGGCTTCCAGGTGGGGCTGCCTTGCCTCTCAGCGTTTCTGGCTTCTATGTGTCCCTCTTGACCTGGATGGCTGCCAGTAACACACCATATGCCTGAGATGAGTCACTCCATCTCCCCAAAACCCCACTTTGTTGGGAGCTAATGCTGTTTCTAACAAACCAACCAAAAATAAATGACCCTTATATTTAGCAGGTTCTTGCTTTCTTGGCTAAACAATCTGAAAATAATAAAATCTACCCCAATGACATCAAGGTGAGGAAAGCTATAGTAAAATACATCATCCACTGCTTTTATCTCAAAGGGGGCCCAAAGTCTCTTCTATGCAGCTTGCAACAATCTTTTGCCAGTGGCTTACATGAAGAGTTTTCTGGAGAAGGCATTTTACTAAGGTGGCTGTGCATTATTCATGGGCATTTCACATTCCTAAATATGACAGATGCCATCACAGCAGGTGTTGACTTCCCCAAAGCAAAGTGTCACTGGATACAGGGACAATTTTCTAGACAGGTGCCAAATCACATTAGAATCACACTCCACATACACGCCTGGCAAGAACAAATCCTTTCATTCACAGCCTAGCAAAAAATCATCGCCACCTAAGAGCTCTCAGATGGACTCTGATTAAATCATTTCCATTAATTCACCATCAAAACATTCCTTCTGCATTAACCATGTACAAGGCAGTGGCCGAGAAAGAGTTAAAAATGGCTGCATCCTGCATCAGAACCTGCATGAAACTGCAACAGGAAATCAGATGTCAGGTAGTAATTCCTTTCTCATACCTTCCTGTAAAAACTACAAGATCCGCTTAGCAACCGGTGCGTGAGGTGGTGGTGAGCCATTTAAGATAATCAGGTGGAAAAAAAAATTGAAGTTATTTAAATTAGAAGTTAGGAATAAAAATATTTTCAGTGGTGCCTGCAAGAAAATTCCAGAAGTGGTGCTCTTGTCCTTGTCCACATGCTACTTTATTTATTTATTTATTTATTTATTTATTTATTTATTTATTTGAGATGGAGTCTCATTCTGTTGCTCAGGCTGGAGTGCAGTGGCGCGATCTCGGCTCACTGCAAGCTCCACCTCCCAGGTTCACGCAATTCTCCTGCCTCAGCCTCCTGAGTAGCTGGGACTACAGGCACCCGGCACCACGCCCGGCTAATGTTTTGTATTTTTAGTAGAGATGGGGTTTCAGCCAGGATGGGATCTCCTGACCTTGTGATCCACCCGCCTCGGCCTCTCAAAGTGCTGGGATTACAGGTGTGAGCCACCGTGCCCGGCCACATGCTACTTTTTATTTATTTGTAAAATTTTTTACTTTTCTGCAGGAGGAAGGGTAGGGCTGGGGGAGAGTGGTGAGAGAAGGCAGGAAATATCAACACAAAGTAGCTCCTGCCTGTAGGACATCTGAGGTCAAATGTGAGCAGAAAGGAGGAAGAAAGAAGACATTACTCAGTCCTAAGCGCTCAGTTCTAAACCAGGTTCACTCAGCTAGGATGCCAGTGCTGGGAGGTCCAAGTTAGTCCGGGCAATCTCTGGACTCTTAAGGAAAATGTTAAGTGAAAAAATAAAGGCCCGTTGACAAGAGCATGGTGTCATCCGCAGTGAAAAGCATACCTCTCAGTAAGCTATAAATAGAAAGAAATGTCTTCAAGCTGATCAAGTGTATTTATCATATTTAGTGGTGAAACCTTCATGGCATTTTCATTAAAGACAGGAAAAAGACAAACAAGACAAAGGTGTACACTTTTACCAATACCATTCTACATTGTTTTCCTCCTGGCCAATGTGATGTCAAGAAAAAGAAGTATAAAGATCATGAATACAAAAATCGGGTCATATGGCTAAATAAAAAATCAACATATAAAAACCATTATTTCCTATTCACTAGCAATAAAAATTAACTAAATGTAAAGGGAAAATGGGATCCCATTTGTAATAACAACTGATAAACCCTCCAATGTAAGATCTACATAAAGCAAATTATGGAACTTAACTGATGAACATAATAGACCTAAATAGAAATATATGATATTTCTAGATGGAGAAACTAAATATTGTAAAGATGCTGATTTATCAAAAATGAACCTATTAATGCAACACCCAGTCTAAACACCCACAGGAATTTTCTCTACAGACCTTGACAGGCTGCTTCTATAAGTTTACGTGACAGAATAAATACACACACAAAAAATACATTTTTTTGTGAAAGAACAGCAATAAGGAAGGATTTTCCCTTCCTGTCATAAAATTTTTTTCTAAGTCTAAAATAATTAAAGTACTTTACTATGGGTGTGGGTGTAGAAAATAATCAACAGTACAGAAGAGAGGGATCAGTTGCATAGCTGTACATACAAGGGAATTCAGTTTATGATAAAGGTAATAGTTCAAATGAGCTGAAATAATGGATTACTCAATAAATAGAGAGGACAACTGGTTCTCCACTTAGAGAAAGATAAAATCTAGATTCCTAAGTCACAACCTATACAAAAATCAATTCCAGGCTGAGCATGGTGGCTCATGCCTCTAACCTCAGCACTTTGGGAGGGCTAGGCAGGAGGCTCACTTGAGCCCAGGAGTTCAAAATCATCCTGAGCAAAACAAGTGAGACCTTGTCTCTACAAAAAAATAAACAAAATTAGCCTGGCATGGTGGCTTACACCTGTAGTCACAGCTACTTGGAGGCTGAGGTGGGAGGACTGCTTGAGCCCAGGAGGCTGAGGCTGTGATGAGCCGAGATCATGCCACTTGCCCTCCAGCCTGGGCAACAGAGCAAGATCCCATCTCAAAAACAAACCAAACCAAACAACAACAACCCCAATAAAGAAGTACTTAGAATACTGATTCACATGTGGCCGTTACAAGACTGATGTAAACTCACATGTACACACATGGAAACAGTTCAAGCTAATATTACTAAGAGAAAAAAATCAAGTGGAAAAATAATACCTATAAAATAACCACATAAGCTAATTGGATTCAAATCCAGTTTCAGTATTGTGTGATCCTGTGCATGTGACAATCTCTCCAATCTTCAGCTTCCACATCAATAAAATGGGTAGAAATAATAGAACTTACCCCACGCAGTTGATGAGAGCACTATTAGGAACCTAGTATATTGCCTGGCACCATGTTAAGTGCTTTAAAAGCATAATTTTCTTCAAACCCCTCATCAATCCTGTAAGGCAGACACTCTTATGATTATTTACGTCAATGAGTACACACATGTATATGTATACTGATCTTACATGTGTGCCCTTCTTGGAGAGAAGACAGGGAGAATGTACCCCAACTAGTTTGCTGTGGTTACCTTTGGAGCAAGAGGTGAGAGCCGGGAAGAAGTAAAGGAAGGGACCCTCACATTCTCCTTTGCAGCTATATCATCTCAACCCTTTATAACAAGAATATATATTTTTGTTGCTGTGTAATAAAATAAAGACCAAGAGGAAAGAAAGTCCATTTCTTTTGGAGCCATGACACCTGAACTTCAGTGTTTTCCCCAGCTTGTACTGGAAATGGGATCTTGGGCAGATCACAAGCTCTTGGAACCTCTGTTGTAAAGTAGAGATGATGATGATGGTGATGATGGTGATGATGGTGATGATGGTGGTGGTGATGGTGATGATGATGATGATGGTGAGTGGTGGTGGGGTGGTGATGGTGATGGTGATGATGATGGTGAGTGGTGGTGGGGTGGTGATGG